ATCGCGTGCAGCTCTCCCCCCCCCCCCATCTTTCTAACTTCACTCTCCAACTCCATTCTCCGTGTTTTTTGTTGTGGGGGGGGGGGGGCCTTCCTTTATTCCTATGCCTCTGTGGGTTCCAATGCAAAGACAGTCTAGTTACATTGTTCTCCGGTTTTCTCACTGTGTGTCCTATCCAACGGCAGCGTCTTTTCTTCACCTCTTGGTCCACAGGAGCTTGCTTGGTTCTCTCACAAAGCTCTGCATTAGTGATTCTATCATACCAGCAAATAGTGCTCTACAGTAGCAAGTAAAGTCAAGCACCCAGTTCCCGTGTCTTCAGACGTATTTGTCACATAGAGCTAGACCTGTATGTTACAGACCAATCGGCATTCGGTGGGTGATAGGTTAACATCACGCTTTTACTTATCGGGACTTTACCTGGTAACCATTTAAGGCTGTGTCGAGCTGGGGTAGCCAAGGTCGTTTTTTGACCCCAAAAATATCAGGTTCCATTCGGATTTGAACCCACGACCTTCAGATCCGCAGGCCAGAGCCTAGCCGCTTCACCACGGCGGTTTCCCCCGGGTGTTTTTAGTTCTGCACGTATACACTCTCTCTCCACCGTACTGGATATTTAGTTAGTTAGTTGGGTTACCATCAATGCACGCTGGACATGTCCACATGTGCTCAGATCCTCCCCTCAGTATTAATCCCAGCGTCCGGTGGCTTACGGTACCAGTTCTATGTTGGTTAACAAGTCCTCTGATGTGACTGGTGTGCGTGTGGTTTTGTTGTCATTCTGGCGAGTGATGTGGATTCACTGATCTGAAAGTCCTCAACCTTTTCCCTATCTCGCAGGGTATTTATAATATCAGCATGATCCATAGCTTGACCATTGGTAGTAATGACGGATCCAGCCTATCAGCTCTTTCATTCCCAACGGCGCCCGCATTAGATATCCATGTTTGTTCAATAAAACTGTTTAAATCTCGTATTGTATACACAATCCAACAGGATGGTATCTTGGGAAATCTTCGATAAAAGCCAGGACTGGAAATCTTTCAGCGTCTGTCTTCTCTACAAGTGGCTTCAACCCTGCCCATTTGAACAGGGGGAACTTATCTACAGGAATAAAACATTACATTATCACAGCGGCATGACGTTTAGCAATGACATTTCGTTGACCAGCCGGCTGACGTTTCTAAATGTCACAGCGGGGATGAGACATGCGATTATTGAATGTATCTTGGATGAGATGCACAATTCAACTTCTACTATCACAACACAAAAAGCATACCATCTGAACGTGTACATGTTACCAACGACAGCATTCTGTATTGCCAGCATAAACAATGATAGTGATGTTAGTATCACATGTTCGGTTTCCAGAGTGTATCCAAAAATGACCTGCGCGATTTCTGTTGAGTTTGCAAAAGGATTGAATTCCCTGGCTTCCCAGCCCCAAGTTAGCCAGATGTTAGAATCAGTAAACATTGGCTACGACAAGTATAGAATTGCCGGATACACTTATTACGATGTATCTTGTAATGCCAAGTATGCCCCGGTGGAAGAGGGTAATTACCGATTTCACAGCAAGATATACGTGACGAAGAACTTCAGTTTAATGTCCGTTGAATCCAACTGGATTACAGTTAACGCACAAGTCAGTGAACATCAAAAGCTAAAAAGAAGAAATGAGCAGAAAAATATGGGACTGAGAAATGATCATGACAGCGCGGATGAAAAGAGAAGAGTCGATACAAGTAAGGCGTTTTATCTACTGCTCGGAGCCATTATGGTTCTTGGATTAACTGGGAGCGTCGCACTTTTGTGGATGGTTTGGTTCCGATGCAGAAAAATGTATGCATTGTCAGACACTGATTATACCAACAAGAGCAATATTTATGAAACAATCGAGAGCGAAACGATCTTGAGTTTACTTGAAAGTGCCCCGCAACCTGGTTCCCAAAACGAATCTCTAGATGAAAGGGCGATTGGTGCCCTCTCTAGTGGTGTACACAGTGATGATAATGATTATAGCAGCGTTCACAATCTTCTTCGGAGTACGTATGACAACCAGACTATTGCACTGTTACGACAATGCATTGCAACCTTGCGAAGTAACCCAGACAACAATGAATACATAACTCCTTGCACCCCAGAACTGACATCACGAGGATCTGTAAATACCAGTGTGCATACTCCTTGCACCCCAGAATTGACATCACAAAGATCTGAAAACACATGTGTTCACACTAGGTGCAATTCAGAACTGACATCGCAAGGATCTGTAAATGCCAGCGTTCACACTCCGTGCAAACCAGAACTAATATCGCAGGGATCTGTAAATGCCAGCGATCTATCATGAGGGTCTGTAAATACCACTGATGAACACCCCATGGATTTCTGAATCAACAGCACAAGTCTCTATAATTATCAAGACACACACACCGTGCCACCCGGAATCAACAAAATAGGTCTATATAAAAACAACTGCACACAGCCAATGCACGCATCGGCGACCGGGTTGCCCATTGGCCGGCCGGTAGCCGAATTTGTCGCCGGTCTGGACAGTATCTTGGTTTGTCTCTACTGATCGCATCAACACTGCCAGATTTTTTTTTTTTAATGGCGCACACAAAATCTAGTCACCAAAAGCTCCCCCTTTGAGTGGGGGTGCTAGTTGAACGTGACGATTTTTTATTTTTTTTATTTGGCAAAGTCAACGCCCATCCACGCCTGAATTACCAGAATGGTGATTTACACACAGCGACTCTAAAATCAGAGCCTCTACTAATTAACTTCCATCCCAGTGTGGGAAGCAATTTTTCGTTATTTCAAGGCTCCCTCCCGCGGCTTCAGTCGGGGGCTCTAATATAACCTAACGGTTAAACGGAGTTTCTGGGACTTGTGCCCGGGTGATCCTCATCCGAATTGTGGCACTTTGTGTCACCGGGTACTAGTCGTTCGTTGTACGGTTAAACGACACACAGAATGACTGCGTTCCGGGAAACAGCCTCAATGCAGAAGGCACTGAAGGGGATGCTATTTTTGGACTGCGGGATTCACGACAAGAACTTTCGTGGACATGTCATCTCAAACGCTGACAATGTCGACAGCACTAACTGCGGTGAGACTTGCTGCAATGAAAGTAGTTTTAACTCTTCACAGTCTTCGTTAGTGTGAGACTTGCTGCACTGAAAGTACCTTTAACTCTTCACAGTCTTCGTCAGTGTGAACAATGTATGTACTGAATTTAAGCTAATGAATATATCTCATATACATACTTGAATAAATGAAGACATTTATATCTGAACAAATGTAGATTTTTATACTTGAATAAGTGTAGACATCATTCACTTGAATGAGTGTACATTTTTACAATTGAATAAGTGTAGACTTGTACACCTGAATATGTTGAGACTTTTACAACTGAATAAGTGGAGATTTTTATACTTCAATAAATGCACACTTTTATGCTTGAATAAATGTAGACTTTTATAATTGAAAAAGTTTATAGACTTTACACTTGAATAAGTGTAGACTTTTATGCTTGAATAAATGCAGACCGGTGTACTTTGATAAATGTAGACAATAAATTAGACAAAGCACTGTGTCATGCTGGCTTTACCGGTTTCTGACTGTCACAAGTCCACCAGACAGCACAGCAAGTCTTTCATCAGACACACCCACAACAGATCCCCCAAAATGATCAATTTATGTTGGAATTTTTTGTTGAGATTCATGTTGAGATGAATCTCATCACACATCGGACCCACTCAAACTGCACTACAGGTTACCATTTCCATGCGCCCAAAGATAACTGTACTATATGGTAATACGACTGAACAAGGTTTCCTCCCAGTGTGGGTTCCAAGGATCCATTGTGGGGAAATTAAGAAAACCCCCCCCCCAACCCCCCGCCCCAGCAAAAAGCATGCCGCAAAAGTAGACTAATGAGGAATGTTTCATTCGACTACACCTGCCTGAGAGGGGATGATCCAACAGTTTGCTGACCCATTAGCCAGATCTGTAAAATGGATGTGCATGCCAAACTCAAATTCTGGAACAAGACTACAAAACAACTAGAACTTTCCACCGGAGTTTCCCAGACACGATTAAACCTATCACCTGTCCCAATATGAGCACCCACCTATCACCTGTCCCAATATGATCACCCACCTATCACCTGTCCCAATATGAGCACCCACCTATCACTTGTCCCAATATGAGCACCCACCTATCACCTGTCCCAATATGAGCACCCACCTATCACTTGTCCCAATATGAGAACCCAACTATCACCTGTCCCAATATAAGCACCCACCTATCACCTGTCCCAATATGAGCACCCACCTATCACCTGTCCCAATATGAGCACCCACCTATCACCTGTCCCAATATGAGCACCCACCTATCACCTGTCCCATAATGAGCACCCAACTATCACCTGTCCCAATAGGAGCACCCACCTATCACCTGTCCCAATATGAGTACCCACCTATCACTTGTCCCAATATGAGCACCCACCTATCACCTGTCCCAATATGAGCACCCACCTATCACCTGTCCCAATATGAGCACCCACCTATCACCTGTCCCAATATGAGCACCCACCTATCACCTGTCCCAATATGAGCACCCACCTATCACTTGTCCCAATATGAGCCCCCAACTATCACCTGTCCCAATATGAGCACCCACCTATCACTTGTCCCAATATGAGCACCCACCTATCACCTGTCCCAATATGAGCACCCACCTATCACCTGTCCCAATATGAGCACCCACCTATTACCTGTCCCAATATGAGCACCCAACTATCACCTGTCCCAATATGAGCCCCCAACTATCACCTGTCCCAATATGAGCACCCACCTATCACTTGTCCCAATATGAGCCCCCAACTATCACCTGTCCCAATATGAGCCCCCAACTATCACCTGTCCCAATATGAGCACCCACAGGGCACACTGACAAAACGGACAACGGAAACTGACATTGAAAGTAAAACTCACCATCCCCCAAAGGCAATGTAGCCAGCAAACAAGGACAGTGCTATCTTTCCTGGGTCGGTGCTTGTTCCTTCCATGAAATGACTAATGTTCTCCTGTCCTGTTTCTGTAAAGATGTTCACACTAACAAGTTAGCCATATATCTCATACACGATGTTAAAGAACCATCATCAGCACTTTTAGGCTGTTTATGATTTTACTTGGGCAATTTAATGTACATTAGTTTGCCATTGCTTTCTCAATGGTCAGATCTCCACTGCTGACACCAATACAAGGTGGACTGCTGCCAAACTGCCTGCAGACAGGATCAAACTAAACATTCCAGTGAGCCAAAAGGTGAGGAAAAGACGATGGTGTTGGATAGGATACGCTGAGAAAACCTGAGGACAATAGAAGGGCTTTAATCTTTAACCCAAGAGGGTACAGAAATAAAATTAGACCCCAAAAAACATAAGTAGAAGTGAAGTTAAAAAGCAGGGAAAGACAAGGGGTGAACTGCATGCGATAGCAAAGGATAGGTTGGTCTGGGGTGAGTGGGTTGATGGCCTATGCTCCACTGGGGGATAAAAGGCAGAAGAAAATGGAGGAGTAAAAAAAAGATGAAGAAGAAGAAGGAGTAGAAGAAGCAGAAAAAGAAGAAGAAGAAGAAGAAGAAGAAGAAGAAGAAGAAGAAGAAGAAGAAGAAGAAGAAGAAGAAGAAGAAGAAGACGAAAAAGAAGAAGAAGAAGAAGAACAAGGACAAGAACAAGAACAACAATAGAAGAACAAAAAAATTTAAGAAGAAGGAAAAGAACAAGAAAAAATGGCTAGAACCATGTTGGGAAATGAGCAGGCAGACAAACTGGCCAGTTCTGCAACTCTTGGTGATGAACTGGTGTATGAAAAGCTGGATGTTGTTAGGGCCCATTGGGAGCCAGTAAATAGTGCCGGGACACATAGATCATTACAGTCTTGGGCAGAGTGGCACTGTAAGGAGATACAAGGGGATATGACCCACACTTGACCATCAGGGGAAAGGCCTGATGGATAAATAATCAGACAGTTACTAACCAAATAACTAACTAACTAACTAACCAACCAGCTAGCTAGCTGGTTGGGTGGTTGGTTAGTTAGTTAGTTAGTTAGTTAGTTAGTTAGTTAGTTAGTTAGTTAGTTAGTTAGTTAGTTAGTTAGTTAGTTAGTTAGTTAGTTAGTTAGTTAGTTAGTTAGTTAGTTAGTTAGTTAGTTAGTTAGTTATCATTGTCTGTTGTCCGTTTTGTCAGTGTGCCCTTTGGGGGCTCATATTGGGACAGGTGATAGGTGGGTGCTCATATTGGGACAGGTGATAGGTGGGTGATCATATTGGGACAGGTGATAGGTGGGTGCTCTTTTTGGGACAGGTGATAGGTTTAATCTTGTCCCGAAAACTCCTGTGGAAAGCTAGCTAACTAACTAACTAACTAGCTAACTAACTGACTGACTAACTAACTAGCTAGCTAACTAACTAACTAACTAACTAACTAACTAACTAACCAACTAACTAACTAACTAACTAACTAACTAACTAACTAACTAACTAACTAACTAACTAACTAACTAACTAACTAACTAACTAACTAACTAACTAACTAACTAACTAACTAACTAAATAGCTAACTAACTAACTAACTAACTAACTAACTAGCTAACTAACTAACTAGCAAGCTAACTAACTAACTAGCTAACTAACTAATTAACTGACTAACTAACTAACTAACTAACTAACTAACTAACTAACTAACTAACTAACTAACTAACTAACTAACTAACTAACTAACTAACTAACTAACTAACTAACTAATAATTCAACTAGCTAGCTAACTAACTAACTAATTAACTAGCTACAGAGATCGGTCACTCTGCAAAGAAAGACCAAGCCATGCAGAATAAAACCGAATGTAATAATGTCAATCTTCTAGCCTTTAGACATGTGTAAAGTATATCAGAAACATTAGAAGAAATATATAAACAATTTAAATATTCTGAAGCAATATTTCATGCATTAGTGTCAAGCAAATTCAATAAAAACAAAATAATTAAGCATTAGGTAGTGTGAACAGCTTTTAAATTATTTAAATACATTCATACATTAAATAAATAATATAATCTCTCTCTCTCTCTCTCTCTCTCTCTCTCTCTCTCTCAGTCCACATATATATATATTTATACACACATTCATACACTGGTTGCACCTTTCCGTCTTCCTAGGCGATAGTGTTATACTGTGCTATGAGGAGGCATGAGACTCACAGCCCATGTTCATCACCAGTGTGACTAACAAGACCCAAGCGTGTGATGAATGTTATGAAAAGTCTTCCACAATTGGATCATGGGATCCCCCGTGTGGGTCCTCAGGCCCCACTGTAGGGAAAACATGAATAGACCCCCTGCCTGCCCAACAAGCATGTCGTAGGAGTCGACTAATTGGAAACTTCCTTCGAAGTCGGAGTCTATCTGTCTGAGAGGCAAGGAACCAACAGTCTGCATGCAAATAAGTCAGACCTGTGAAATGAATGTTCACACAACATCCATGTTCCGGAATAAGTCTAAACTCCAGAGGTGGATAAACACCCAGAACTTTCCGCTGGAGTTTACAGCCAGTGAATACCAAGAAGAAGAGGATCATGGGATATCTTGACTAATGTTGCCATCAAATGTATTTAGTCTGTTTCCTCTCAGATGCTCAGCTCTCATCGTTTTTGCAATCAATTTTTTCCTCTCATCCTTTTTCCAATCAATTTTTCCTCTCATCCTTTTTGCAATCAATTTTTCCTCTCATCCTTTTTGCAATCAATTTTTCCTTCAATCTCATTTCATTCATTTTTTGCCCCCCTTCATGCAATATGGTCCACAGCCTTTTTCTCCCATGAATCTACCCCAATATCTGTATTATTCATGTCCCGCTTGCAGAGAAAACATATTTTATTTATTTTTACCATAGTAGAGGCTGGCTCTACGCTATCAGTGCCAGACATGGTCAATCACAACAAAACATAAAAGAAAATTAGTAACCATGGAAATGAGGTGTCTGAGAAAGGCTGAAGGAGTGACCAGAAGAGGTAAAATCAGGAATGAGGTCATATGAGATAAAGTCGGCACAGTATCAATTCTATATTACATAGAAAGACAGCAAGTCAAATGGTTTGCCCTCTTGGAGGGAATGCCTTCTGATGCTATACCATTAATGGCATATACCAAAAAAGAAGAGGGACGTAAAGCAAGAGGTAGACCAAGAACAAGATGGAAGGATAACATCAGAGAAACTCTTCAGCACCACGATGTGTCTATGGTAGAAGCAGCCAGAAAAGCACGAAGAAGGACCTCATATCTCCCTCGACACCTGAAGCAGTAAAAGAGGACAAAAAGAAGAAGAAGACAAGGCCGACATCACACACTGACTATCGAATATTCTATACAAAATACATTATATCTCTAGTTAGATTTTCCCAAATGCACCAGTGGTATTAACAGGTTTCTTTACTTCCGGTCCAATATAGAGGACTAGGCACAGCAAAATGTTTAGCATCAAAGTTTTTTCGCTTTTGACAGCTTTTTATTAATGCAGTTTCCACATATGGACGGAAGTCTTAGATTTTGCTGCCTGAGCTACTGAGTTTAGTGCTTGGTGTAGAACTGTGAGCTGTATTTTTAAAGTCGAATGCCTTTCATTTGTGCAGCAGTATTCAAACTGGCCGGTAGCCGGTTTACATGTGGATTGGGGAAATACTTTATGTAATAATTTTACACGTGAATGGCCAACTTATCGTGACCAAGTACTTCTATCAACGACAAACAGCATTTCTGGTGGCGACCATAAGCTTTGGCACCTCAGGCAACGGCCACATGCATTTCTGGATTGTTCCAAGACTAATCGTTTGTTCACTAGTTATTCAAATGGGGCAGTGAGAGACATTTCATTTGATTTTCACTGGGGCAGGAACAAAGCAAGTACTGGGTGACTGTAGTGAAGTCGAAACTTTGACTAAGTCTTTACCTTTTTGTTGAAGCCCACAGGGACTGTGGTGAGGCAGCTAGACGCTCACCTGCGGATCTGAAGGTTATAGGTTCAGGTGCTGATGCGACTGGACTAATTTAACAAAAAATAATCCTGGCTTTGAGGCTGACCAAGTCTCTAAATGGGTACCAGGTAAATTCCTAGGAAATCAAGGTGGCTGGCGTGATGATAACTAAATCACGCATCTAGTGCCAATTGGTCTATAAAATATAAGTCTTGCCCTATATGCCCGACATGCCTGAAGGTGTGTGTGGAAAATGGTTGTGTACTTTTTTTTTAAACTGTATAAAAAAAAGTTTCTTTAGCTGATCCTAATTTTATGAGTTACCCACATAGTGAACTAAAAGTCTGCCGTTTAAAGTATATATCTAACACTCAGGTATTCAAAAGATAAATCTTATATCTCTGGGTAGTGAAGCGACTGCTATGGCAAGCAGTATTGTTTTCGCAGTTGAAACAAATTCTTCTGTGTTATGTTATAAATACAGTAACTAACAAGAAAAAAAAATAATATGTCTTTATTTAAAAAAAAAAATCTTTTAACAAAGCTGCAATATGTTAGTAGATAATAGCGAATATATGTAAACACAGGTTGCCTTACTTTACAGATGTCACTACCAAACATGGCATTTACATACAACAATGTGGTCAAGGCCCTTTAGGAACAAGCAACGGAATCAGTAGAAATAGAAGATTATTATGGCCTAGAGAGAACGAGGCCCCTGTGTTTAACCAGAGGGTCTGGCCAGCTCACTACACTCAGAGGAAAGGCAAAACGGACATATAACCTGATTGTGACCGGTATTATCAGTACTAGAACTCTGCGTTGCCTGCTGAGAATGAGGACGGAGCATGCATGGGAATGCCTCAAGTGATGTGACTCAACACAACTCAACTTAAAATAACAAACAAAGAAATAAACACCCAGCTTTTTTTGCTATGTGTTTCATGTTCAGTAGTTTGCCAATTCTGAATGGATGACACTCCTACCATTTTCAGCAATAAAAGAAATTAGTTGGTTGCCTAATTTGTGCAGCTAAATCCCAATATGTCGGGATTATACAATTTTGATTATCATATCACAATTAAATTATCACATAACAAAGTAATTATACACATAAATTAAGCTTTTTATATTTTATCCTGAAATAATATACGTAAGCAGGCAAAGTAACATTCATCATCATCATCAGGTGCCTTGCCGACTGGCGTGGGCGATCATGCCTCTCCATAATCTGCGATCTCCTGCAGCATGTATCAGTTCGTGTGCCGACACACCTCCATGCCATGCAACAAGACTGTCAAGCATCTTCTCTCGTTGTCTTCCTCTATCTCTCCTTCCACATATCTTTCCAGTGGTCACAACATGTTCTATTTTTCCCTCTTCTCCTAACATGGCCGAAAAATGATGACTGTCTCCTTCTGATGTCTGTGATAAGTTGTCCTCGGGCTCCCGCCTCTTTCAAAACCTCTTGGTTGCTCTATTTCGCCGTCCAAGGTATTCTAAGCATTCTTCTGTAAAACCACATCTCCAAGGCCTCCAGAAATTGTTTGGCCTGCCTACCGATTGTCCAGGATTCACAGCCATATGTTAAAACTGGATGTATGTAGCAAGCAAGAATTCTTTTTCCAACTCTCAATAACACGGATATATTGCACAAGATGTTTTTCATTTTATAAAATGCAGTTTTTGCCTGTCCAATTCTGTTTCTTATCTCAGTTATGCATCTTCCATCTGATGTTATCCATGTGCCCAGATACTTAAATTTCTGTACTTGTCCTAAAATAACACTGTCAACTTTTATTACACTTAGGAATAATTTGTTTCTTTGAAAAGTAACATTACATATACATTATAGAGGGTTTACAGTATAATCTCTTATTCCATGCTAATTAACTCTAATTACATAAATTTAGCTTTGATATTTCCCCCATACCCTACTTAAAGGCATACACGAAAAGAGCAGATGGACGCATAGCAAGAGGTAGACCAAGAACACAACGGGAAGATAACATCACAGAAACTCTACAGCACCATGATGTGTCAATGATCAAAGCAGCCACAGAGCACAAAGCAAGACCTTAAATCTCCCTCAACACCCAAAGCTGTCAAAGAGGGGGTAAAGAACGAATGAACAAACTTTATTTTTCAAGGGTCACAAATTGGGCATGCAGGCCTGTCTTACATTCGGCACTTAAAGAAAAAGAAGAAGAAGATATATTTCCCTAAACAATATGAACCTGTGAATATTTATTCGAGGTTTGAAAAAAGGAGTTGTAGTTTCCGTCTGTGCTCATGAATTTAAAGCATATCTTTTAAGCACAAAACTATGCAGCCACTATAAAATTATTCGCGAGAGAAGAAAAGTAATTACAAGATTTTGTCTTCTGTACTGTGGAATGTTTAAATTTAAATCTGAAATAATCAAAATTGAGTAAGATAATATTTGTGAGCATAAATAGGTTTCTTCAAAATGGTGTAAAAATGCCACAAAAGATCAACTTAAATGAGAAAGATGCATAACGAGTCAGTTTCCAAATAATACACAAACATTAAAGACATTTTAAAAATATGCAACGGCTAGAAAGCATTCATCCGCATAAAAATGTTTTTTGAAATGGTACAATTTAAGATGTGCTCAAACATTAGCAGAAACATAAAAAAATAAAAAAAAATATAAAGATTCTCCCAGTGGATTCTGGAGCCCCAGTTGGTGGTGGGTCAGACCCACATAGCCTCTAATCAGTATGCTGCCGGAGATGACTAAATAAGGTTATTTCCTTCAAAGTTAGGGTACATTTACCTGAGAGGCGGGGAACTAACAGTCTGCGTACAAATAAGCTTGATCCGTAAAACTGATGTCATTTACTTCAACCTGATGGATGTTCACGGAAAACTCAAGTTTTATTACAAAACCAAATCTAGAAGTGGATGAACAACAAACAGAAATTTCCACAGGAATTCACAGCCAGTGAATGATAACAAAAAGAAGAAGAAGAAGAAGTAGAAGAAGAAGAAGAAGAAGAAGAAGAAACAAAAACAGTTTTAAAAAAAATGGTTTTCACTGATTTCACATAAGATGATTTCAATTCTTACTTTGTCCATTTTCTGTTCGGTGCCACAAGACGTTGCAGGTTAATAGATAATTGGTTACAGAGCCATGGCACGCTTGGCTGCCCGGTATACTGTGATGTTGTGGAGCCTCAAGGTATCAGTGAGTCCTTCAATCCATCTTCTTCTTGGTTGTCCCCAACCTCTTGGTGTTTCTTTCTACTTTCATGTTAAACACTCTCGTTGCTGGCATCATTAAATTCATTCTCATGATTTCACTCATATAATCCAACTTGATCCTCTAATACCTGGCAGTTGAGTTGAGTTGAGTCAAGAATTGACATCACAGAACTTAGGGCATTCCCAGTGTAGCCCGTCCTCATTTTCAGCAGCCAGCGCAGAGTTCCAATACTTATGGTACGGGTCACAATTTGTTTATATGTCCATCTTGCCTTTCCTCCGAGTGTATTGAGCCGGCCAGATCCTCTGGTTTCACCCAAGTGCCTCATTTTGTCCAGGCCATAATAATCTTGTTTTTCTACTTGACCACATCTGCCTTGACATGCATCAATTCACTATCCAGTGGTGCAGATTCAGCCAATCTATCTGCCTGTTCATTACCCACCACGCGGGCATGGCCTAGAGAAAAGATCCAGGTTATATGTTGATGTAATTCTGTAGTAACGGACCAGACAAGATACTGCAAAATACGTCTGGCAGTAAATTGAGCAATGCAACACATAATGAAGCCCAAAAACTAAATTAATTCTACTGAAACGCGAATGGTTTCTCTCGATGCATCAAGTTCATCTAATTTTCTTTTGTTTTTGTGTGTGTGTGTGTGAGAGAGAGTGACCACCTCTGGCATTGGTAGCATAGGGCTGGGATGAATATGCCTTTTAACAACACTAATTTTGATTATTTCAATACTATTTTAGACTATTTCAATACTATTTTGGATTATTTCAATACTATTTTAAATTATTTCAATACTATTTTAGATTATTTCAATACTATTTTAGATTTTTTCAATACTATTTTAGATTATTTCAATAATATTTTAGATTATTTCAATACTATTTTAAATGATTCAAAGTCTCTGCATGTGACCCCGCTGTTCCTAATGTTAAATTCTGCTACAGTCAAATGATTCTACTCTTTCATGTAGGTTCCAGGGCCCAATTTTGGTTTAAGGTCCTCTAATTCTTCTTGTGTTTGACATCAGTCATGCTAGACACTGAGTCCCGTCTGGGTCACAAATAGGACTGTGCGTGTAAGGTCGCCACTGGTTCCCTCATAGCTTCTCTTGCAATGTGGCTCCCTTGGGCCAGATCCACAGTAAGGTTTAAGGTCTAAAACAAAAAATAAAATGGGAGAAAGAAAGTATAGGCCTGCTGCCCCCACCACCCACCATCCCAACAAGCATGTCATAAAAAGTGACTAATCATCAGTTGCTAAATTTGGACACATTGTCCCTGTGTGGGTTCCTGGGCCCAACTAAGGAAAAAACAAGAATAGATGCACTGCCGCCACCCTCACCCCTAGCAGGTTGTAAGAGTCCACTAATTAAGGAGTTTCCTTCAAAGCTAGAGTGCATTTGCCTGAAAGGCAAGAAACCAACAGTCTGCATACAAATTAGCTACATCTGAAAAACGGATGTGCATGCAACACTCAAGTTCTACAACAAGACTTACAATTCATAAGTAAACGAACAAACAGAGCTTTCCGCCAGAGTTTACAACCAGTGAACATTAGGACGAAGAATGTGCTGGGCCAAAATAAAGAAATTGCGGCCTAGCTGTAAACATCTGTGATCAAAGATAAAAAATGGCACTCAAAATGGGTCAGAAAGCTGCCTTACCAGTTGGAATGTGAATAAAGCCTAAGATAATGATGATCACCAGCGCCAGAACTTTGCAGAGGGTCAGGAACTTCTGGATGGAGGTGACCACTTTCATGTAGGTACAGTTGATAGCAATCAAGGTTACTGAAATGGGAAACAGATGCAGAAGCTGCAGATATTGTACAGGGTTCCTTTAGCATCAATAGTGTATGATCATATTTCTATTTCTCTCATATTAATTTGTGAGATCAGATTTATATCTTTATACAGTTATATGTGTGATGAGATTTATACCTTTATGCAATTATATATGTGATGAGAATTATACCTTTTTTATAGTCAAAGGTATGGTAAGATTTACATCTTCATAAGTCATATGTGTCAAGATTTATATCTTTAGTCATGTGCGTGATGAGATTTATCTTTATACAGTTATATGAGTGATGAGATTTACATCTTCATATGGTCATATATGTGACAAGATTTACACCTTTATTCATGTGCATAATGAGATTTATGTCTGCAAAGTCATATGAGTGATGAGATTTACAATTGTTATACATTCACTGTGAATCCTGGACAATTAATAAACAAGCTAAACAGTATCTGGAGGCCTTGGAGATGTGGTTTTACAGAAGAATCCTTAGAATTCATTGGACAGCTAAGATGAGCAAACCGGGGGGAAAAAAAAGGGGGGGGGGGCGATAATAGATCTACTGCCCTCCTAACAAATATGTTGTAAGAGTTGATTAATTAGGGGTGTCTCCTTCAAAGTTAGAGGTGAGGAACCAACAATCTGCATACAAATAAACCAGATCTATAAAATAGATGTGCATAAAAAAACAAAACAAGAACAATTGGATGAAGAATCAGAATTTTCCACCAGAGTTTACAGCCAGTGAAGGTGAAGAAATAGGTTTAAAACATTTTATTTATTTATAATTAAGCAAACAAAAAAAGTAAAGAAAATTTAACAGACTAGATTACAAATGAACCTTTCCCGCCCCCCCCCCCCCCCCCCCCACCCCACATCCCAGGTTGAAAACCACTGGTTTAGATAAACAAATGATGAAGATAGCACCGCTTGTGAGCAGTTTAAAGGCCTATGCTGAAAGGGAAGATAAGAGGAGAACAAGTAACAGCTCAGAGAATTCCTTAGGTATGAAAATGTCATAAAGCAAATAAGACAGCTGCTTCGCAGGTATTCATAAAAATTAACCCCAGCATTAAAAGTGCCTTTACTGCATGTATTTACCATCAGATAGAGTAGGACAGTCGCCGTGGCGTAGCAGCTAGATGCTCGCGTCGATCGGAAGGTCATGGGATTTGCTCCTTGGAGGAGCCTGACTTTTCTCGAAAATGACCTTGAATCCCAGGTCGACCAAGCCTTGAGTGGATACCGGGTGCAGTCCTGGGAAGTAAAGGTGGCCGGCGTGATGCTGACCACATCACCCATTTTGTGCCGATTAGTCTATAAAAATATAGGTCTAGCCCTATATGCCCTATACGCCTAAAGGGACCTTTACTTTTGTTTAATAGAGTAGGATCAGGCGGGTCAAGAGCCTGGGGATTCAAGGTCACATGGCTAGTGTAGTCATCATGAATTGTGCAGGTGAGGACTTTTATTTTCCCGCAACTGAAAAAATCTCCACACTTATCAAGGTTTGAACATGGGACTACCGCCTGAGAGCCTAGAGTTCTAACCATTTTTCTTGTGTGGGTTTTGGGGTCCCATTTTTAGAGGAAAAAAAAGAATACACCCATTGCCCCACTCCGTTTCCTTTTCCAGCCAGCACATCGTACACTGCGACTTATCAGGGATCTTTCCATCGAAGACAGAGTGCATTTGCCTGAGAGGCCAGGAACTAATAGTCTGCATACTCTTCAGCTGGATCTGTTAAATAAATATGCAGCAAAACTCTAGTTCTGAAACAAGACCAAAAATCCAGAAGTGGATGAACAACCCGGCCCCCCCCCCCCCCCACCCCCTCCAACCTGGAGTTGACAGCCGTTAAAGGCTAAGATCTCATCGTTTAGTATCTTTTTTCCCCATGTAGGTTCTGGGCCCAATTACAGGAAAAACAAGAATAGACCCACTGCCTACCCACAAGCATGTCGTAAGAGTTAAATAACTGTGAGCTTCCTTCGAAGTCGGAGTGCATCTGCCTGAGAGGCAAGGAATCAACAGTCTGCATACAAATGAGTCAGATCTGTAAAACGGATGCACACGCGACACTCAGGTTCTGGAACAGGACTGCAGTCCAGAAGTGGACGAACAACCAGAACTTTCTGCCAGAGTTTACAGCTGGTGAACGCGAAGAAGAAGAAGAAGCAGAAGTATCTTTTTTTTTTTTTAGGTAATTCTGTGTTCAATATTTGGCCTCCGCTTTCTTAATGGTTCAATGCTCGTTGTAAAATACTTTCTGAGGTGCCTGAGGAAAGCTGCCAAGTAACAATCAGAGGCAAAGTGATAAATGATACTGTCAGACAAACTGTGGGAACAACATCATCTCGTTAAAATTCTGTCATTAAAAACTACCAAAACAAGCGCTACAACTAAGAGGTCGTACTTGTAAGGGAGCCAAAACAGAAGATAGACTGATGTCATTAAAGACCATCCAATAATGCTTAGGAAGAGGAGAAGAAGTAAAAAGAAGATGAAGAAGAAGAAGAAGAGGAGGAAGTGGGAAAAAAAAGGAGAAAAAGAGTGTACACTGATACTCACACATAATCCAAGCTGCTACAAGTTTCACAACACCATCAGATGGTAGACAGCCGCTGTAGACCACAGACAACAAATACAGGCTGGTTGTATAAGCTCCCAAGGCCCACATCGGCGAGGCAATGAAGATAATAAACCCCCACATGAACACAAACCCTGCCAGGTTGCCAAATGTATGGTAGATAAAATAATAGGGTCCGCCAGCTTTGTTGAACATTAAGGCAACTTCTATAACGCTGAAAGCCAATCCTGCCTGAATTATCCCACCAAACGTCCACATAATCAAAGCCATACCTGGCGACCCGACAACACTTAGAATTGCTGTTGGGAAAATAAAAATACCGGACCCTCCGATATTTGCAACTAAAATGGCAATGATTCCTAAAAATGTTATTGATTTCTTCAGTTCCACCTTGTCTGCCGATATAGTGATGGAGTGATCATTTTCTATTTTTGATTCTTTGTCAGCAAATGTGTTGCTGTTATCATTGAATTGTTCAATGTGCCTTGATGCTGGGCTTCTGTCTCCAACAGATGCCATGGGAGCTGATTTTGGTTTGTGATCTTCGTTCATACCCTGAAGAAAAAACAATTTTTACATACTGAATTTTATATTGCAATGGCAAACTGTTATTTCAATTCAGGGAGATGAACTGTCATAGACCACAAGTCAAACCAAGAAGACCATGTCCAGACTGACCTGCAAACACTTGGTGTCACCAACTGGAAAGAGAGGGCCAACCAGAGAGATGGGTATCTGCAGCAATGAACCTCAAGGGCTCAGAATGCTGAAAAAGGCCAACCAGAGTTGAATGGAGGCGGGTGATATCTGCAGCAATGAACCTCAAGGACTCGGAATGCTGAAGAAGGCCAACCAGAGAGATAAATGGAGGCAGGTGATATCTGCAGATATCTGCAGCGATGAACCCCAAGGGCTCAGAATGCTGAAGAAGGCCAACCAGAGAGATGAATGGAGGTGGGTGATATCTGCAGCAATGAACCTCAAGGACTTGTAATGCTGTAGAAGAAGAAGAAGAAAAAGAAGAAGAAGAAGAAGAAGAAGAAGAAGAAGAAGAAGAAGAAGAAGAAGAAGAAGAAGAGCAAACTGTTAGCACCTTTCCATCTTTCCAGATGATAGTGTTATAACTATGATATGAGGAGGCATGGGACTCACAGCCCACGGGGATGGTCAGTGTGACCTGCAAGACCCGACTGTGTTAAGAAAAGTCTTCCACAATTAAAATAGAGAGATCAGGACCGTTGTTAACAACATTTGTATGGTTTGAGGTTTGAACAACGAATCAACATCATGGCACAGGTGTAGTAACCCATAAGTTCTTCTTCTAACTCAAGTCCGAGTCTGAAGAAGCTCAGCACAGTGCACAAGCTCTGTAGCATTGTGATTTACCAAGAGGATGTCAGGGACTTCTAACATGCTTCATTCTCCAGGTGTGACTAAGCCATCACCGACTTTGAACAGCGTGGCAAACTACTAAATGTAAAACTGCCTAGTATATTCACAAACAGTCAACAAATACTTGGGTGGGTTTGCAATGTCCTGTAAAGAAGCAGTAGGCAGTGGGTATTCATGTGTTTACCCACAAGTGGGTCCTCGGAACCCACATAGAGCGGCACTAGAAGTACAAATTTAAACAACAATTCCCGTTCAATCCATCTGGGTTATAATTGGGATATACATAGTTTTTTTCTTTTTTATAATGGATATTTATGTCTACTTATTATGTCTGATTATTCAACATTTTATGTATTAACTGTCTAAGATTGTAGGAGTATAGATTGTCATGTTCAATCTATTTTAAATGTACTTTTCAAACAATTATAGTAATTATATTGTGTAGTATATCTGAGTGTGTGAGTCGGCTCTGTGGCTAAGTTGATGCGAACGCTTCGCTTCGTAATGCCGGGATGCCAGGTTCGATTCCAGCTGCGGGCAATGCGCCTTGCGTTGGTTTCGACAGTGGTATGAAGAAGGCCGACCGTCCAGAAAGCAATGGCAAACTACTGGATGTAACTTGCCTAGAGAAACCACACAACAGCCAAGGGCTGTTGGGGTTGGTTCTGCAACGTCCTGTAAAGGATACGCAACTAAACAAAAAAGTATATCTGTGTGGATATTGAAGGGGATCTGGGATACAGATATTTTCTTAAGATATATTGACATCTTATATGCTAACCACTGTTCCTGTGTTGTACTGTTAATCCTTCCCTGTAGTTCTCTAGAACCAACTATTCCCAGGATGTTTTCATTTTTTTTTGGGGTGTGTGTGCAGCAGATAATGTAAACATTAAGGGAAGTCCTTTGGAGCTCATATTTCTTGCAGTAGAGTAAAAAATAATGTTTAATATCATTATGTCTGTGTAGTCCTGTAAAGGACAGCAACTAATTTTTAACATTTATATAAAAAATTAACACAGTATATCAATATAAATATAATGTTTTATACAAATTAACACAGTATAACAATATAAATATAATGTTTTATACAAATTAACACAGTATATTAATATAAATATAATGTTTTATACAAATTAACACAGTATATCAATATAAATATAATGTTTTATACAAATTAACACAGTATATCAATATAAATATAATGTTTTATACAAATTAACACAGTATATCAATATAAATATAATGTTTTATACAAATTAACACAGTATATCAATATAAATATGTTTTATACAAATTAACACAGTATAACAATATAAATATAATGTTTTATACAAATTAACACAGTATATTAATATAAATATAATGTTTTATACAAATTAACACAGTATATCAATATAAATATAATGCTTTATACAAATTAACACAGTATATCAATATAAATATAATGTTTTATACAAATTAACACAGTATATCAATATAAATATAATGTTTTATACAAATTAACACAGTATATCAATATAAATATGTTTTATACAAATTAACACAGAATATCAATATAAATATAATGTTTTATACAAATTAACACAGTATATCAATATAAATATAATGTTTTATACAAATTAACACAGTATATCAATATAAATATAATGTTTTATACAAATTAACACAGTATATCAATATAAATATAATGTTTTATACAAATTAACACAGTATATTATTATAAATGAATTTTTATTTAAAAAAAAAAACAACAGTATAATACTTTAAATATAACTTTTATAAAAATTAACATAGTATATTAATATAAATATCTAGAAAAAAAATTAATCCAGTATAATATTATAAATATAATTTTTATAAAAAATTACTAAAAAGTAAGTTTAAAAAAAAGTTATGTTTACACAAACTACATTATGATGTTATCTACCCATGTTGGTTCTGGGGCCTCATTTCTGGAGGGAAAAGAATAACACACCCACCGCCCCTCTCACAAGCAAGTCATACAAGGTGACTAACCAGGGGTGTTTTCTTCACAGTCGGAGTGTATCTGACTAAGAGACAAGGAACCAACAGTCTGCATAACAATTAACCCAGATCTGTAAAATGGATGTGCACATAACTCAAGTTCTGGAACCAGACCAGTCCAGAAGTGTACCAACAACCAGAACATTCCGCTGGAACTTACAACCGGTCAATGCCAAGAAAAAACAAAGATGATGTTATCAATTCAGATGACCTGAATGCGATTGTTGTGCAAAATAAAAATCCTCTCTCAATAATTTCCTACTACATAAAGTATAACCTGGTCCCCGTGTTCCTTTACTGAGTTTGAAAACCTAAGCACAAAAACACATCTCATCTCATCTTGACCCTCTGGTACCCTGCGGTGTTGAGGTGAAGTATTATTTATGGGAAAGTGCTCACTTGTGCATGTGGTAATGGGAATTCCCAAAGACTATTATTCCCTCTGTCCATCGTCTGCATGGTTGGCCTCTTCTTCACTGCCCGTCTGTACATCACTGCTTGCTGGGGTATACTGTTTGCTGACTTCTGTGTTATATGGCCAAACCATTTCATCTGTTGTCTTTTAAGGAAATTCAGAGATGCTGCTACCCCCATTCTCCTTCAGATTTCATCATTCCAGAAAAAACATCAGACACAAACTTAAACCGGAGCTATTCAATTTTACTTAGGGGCCACAGTTTTGGACATGGGGATCGTAACAGGACAGAGGTCAAAGCCCTGGCATAGAAAGATCGGCTCTACTGGCAAATCCGGACGAAGAATAAACAGCCTTGGACGACAGTCAGAGTTCTCTCCCTTGGCCGCACTCCAAACAGTAATCGGAAAACAAACGAAACAAACGACACACTTACCTATCATCCTGCGGTTGCGTGTAGGGCTGCGTACGGTTGTGCGAGGCATTGTGAATGGTTGTGTAGTCATCGTCATGCGGTTGTTGGATTAAAGTTAGGGGTAGGGTTAGGGTTAGGGGTAGGGGTAGGGTTAGGGGTAGGGTTAGGGTTAGGGTTAGGGTTAGGGGTAGGGTTAGGGTTAGGGTTAGGGGTAGGGTTAGGGGTAGGGTTAGGGTTAGATGTGAAAAGTTTGACGTAGGATTTCGAAATACTGGCCGACAATATGATGTTTGTGGGAGTGGCGCCACTGAAACTCTGCCAAATATGACGCCAATAGCGTGCGGCTGGTGCCCCCCAATCGTTGGCGAATTGTGCGTTTGACCAGCATCCAGAGGCCCTCGATTGTTTGTGTGTGTGTATGGGACTGTGCGCGATTATAGGGAACTCCGGCGTCTAAATTGTCAAATCTAACGCTACCGCTAACCCTAATCCTAATCCTACTCCCTAACCCTAACCCCTACCCCCTAACCACGCAAATTTATCGATCATTAAAGCATACAAATCGGCAAACACCAACAAACAAAACACACCCAAAAAAAAACCACCCAGAATTGTCCTGCAGCGTCGAAAAAAAACCAAGATCTGGGGGAAACAACCAAGCATTGGCAGCCCTGATGTCGACGTGACTGTCTTCTTTGTTTCGTTGTGGCTTTTCCGATTACTGTTTGGAGTGCGGCCAAGGGAGAGAACTCTGACTAAGTCGTCCAAGGCTGTTTATTCTTCGTCCGGATTTGCCAGTAGAGCCGAAAGATCAATTATACACTACACCTGACAATGATCCGCGGGCCACTTGCTGGTCCTCCGTGGGCCAGATTTGGGTTGCGGACCGTCAGTTGAATAGCCCTGACACATTCACTCCTAATCAGGGCTTTTTCTTCCTAGAAGAAAAGGTGTTGTTACTTACCCTAAAGTGTTTGAAAAAGGTGCTAGCACTCACTAAAAAAAAATGTGTATTACAGTAGTGGTGACAAAACGGTGCATGGAAAAAGATGTCGCTACTGCGAACTATTCCATACCACCAGAAAAAAAAAAGCTATAGTACTAACTAGTACTTTTCTTAAATCTTCTGTATTCAAACTGACCCGCTGGGCTCGCGTCATACAATCTGATTACTCCTGATTTTAACAAACACGTAACATTTCACTAAACTACCCACATAGTTATAGACCCGTATTCTCTTACTTGTGAGTTTCTTGTGGCTTGTCTTCA